CTTTATCGTGCCAACGTTTCAGCACAATTACCCAGAAGAGACACACCTTGAGCCCTGAAGATGAACTCAATAAAGATCGAAACGTTGGCACTATAAAGAAAATATTTTTCTGAAACCTACATCACACCAGACCGCATCTCACGATTTCTAAATAAATTATTAATATTATTGTTCAAGTCCTAAAGAAGTCTTTTTGGACATGCGCCAGCAGGTTTTTCCTTTTTTTTTAACATACACAATAAAGTGACCAATGGTAACACCTGAATATAAAAAATATTTTTTTGCATTGTGTAAATTCACTTTTTTCCACATCCTACATGTATTGTTAAATTTAAACAATGTTTGTAAATCCCAGGCCCTGAAGATGATCTCAATAAAGATCGAAACGTTGAAAAGATAAAGAAAATGTTTTTCTGAAACCTACATCACACCAGACCGCATCTCACGATTTCTGAATAATATGTACATTTACTGGCTTGCAAGAACGTTGTCAAGACTATAAGCAGAGTGTGAAATGTGAATTAATTACACTTTTTGTATTTTTACCTACGTTAAACGAAAAAGAGTAGTAGCAGTTTTAGGATTTCTTTATTCCGGTTTGCTATTCGGGGTACTTCGTTTTTAATATTGCTCAAAATATGTCAAGCTGCTGAATATAAAGATAGTCAATAACGATTCGATTTGGAATAAGCCTCGAGTGCAAAATTCTGCGCGGTTCCACGAAACAGAACGTATGTGTATTTCCTCCTTATATCGAGGTTCATCTCAAACGGCACCGCATTACAATGCAATATCAGGTTTTTTCTTCAAATATGTGTTTTATCCTATGGTCAATAAAATGTAAAGTCATTTGGTGAAAATCGCTCGATAAAGGATAGAATGAAAATATATATTTTATTAAGGATAGAATATTGTCTTTATTGTTAGGACTTGGCCAGTTTTTAGGGTACTGCATAATCTTAATTTTGTAAAATTTATAATTTAATGTAAATATTATTTATAATTGGGTCGTTACTGATCATTTTGGTCAGCTTATATTTTTTTTGTCGTCAAACCCGGCTCCCCATTACATAAACTTCATTCAAACATGGCTACATATTTTGACATAAAAAACAAGTTTCCATTTATTCATTAATTAATAATAATAAACGATTTGTAATTTTCTGAATTCTCAATTCAAATCTTCCTGGTCCGCCTATCCTCGCTGTTTGTAGTCAACCGTGTTTCCCAATTATATAATCTTTACTTAAACATTTCTATATAATTTGACATAACAAACCCTCATTGTTCAGTTATTCATTAATTGATAATAATAAATTTGTAATTTTTTAAATTCTTATTTCAAATCTTTCTGGTCCGCTTATCATCGCTGATTGTAAACAACCGTGTTTCTCAATTACATAATCATTAGTTAAGCAATTCCAGATATTTTGACCTAACAAACTCTCATTTTTCAGTTATTCATCAATTGTTAATAATAAATTTGTAATTTTTTAAATTCTTATTTCAAATCTTTCTGGTCCGCTTATCATCGCTGATTGTAAACAACCGTGTCTCCCAATTACATAATCGCTATTTAAACATTTCTAGATATTTTGACATAACAAACCAACATTTATCAGTTTTTCATTAATTGATAATAATAAATTTGTAATTTTCTTAAGTCTCCCAATTAAATAATCTTTAGTCAAGCATTTCTATATAATTTGACATAAAAACCCTCATTTATCAGTTAGTCATTAATTGATAATAATAAATTTGTAATTTTCTTATGTCTATTTTGATCTTCCTGGTCCGCCTATCCTCGCTGTTTGGAGTCAACCGTGTTTCCCAATTAAATTATCTTTAGTTAAGCATTTCTAGATAATTTGACATAACAACCCATAAGTTTGAGTTATTCATTAATTGATAATAATACATTTGTAATTTTCTTAAGTCCCAATTCAAATAATCTGGTCGCTCTTTTTGTCTTCAGACACGTTTCTTCATAATATTATCTTAATAAATCCATTAGATTTCGTGGTCCGATTGACCAAATAACTTCTTTAAATTACTTAATCTAAGTAATCTAAAAGTTATATATTCTTAAAAATCTCTTGATTATTGATAACTGATTTATATAAGCTTTTTATTTATACACCCATGTGCATACACAGAGCTGTCGCAGTCCACCGGCAACCAGATTTTGTAATTTATAATAAGTTATCGACAGACTTCTAGTATCATCCACCTTGGGTGTTGGCAGTTCAGGGTCATACCTCGGTTTTATCCATCTAGCCAACGTGGCTGGACTTCGTAAGCTACTATCCGAGATTATCTCAATTTTTAACAAAATTATTCTCTAAAACTTATTCACTCTCAAATACGGTCTTTCATATTTACATACTAGTCACTCCGTTAGAGTGGTGGAGTGCTTGATATACGCAGACTATTCACGCTAATAATACATTCACGCTTAACACTGTGGGTGCACCACTGTAAGGTAAAGGCCTCGGATTGCAGCCTTCCATTCGAACCTGACAATTACAAATAATCCATTATATTTAGTTGTTTATTGAACAAATTACTTCTTTCAGTTAATTAATCTTTAGGTAACGTATTGGTTCAGATAAAAAAGTCAGTGTCACGAGCGGGATTCGAACCTACTATCTTCGGCTAAATAACGCCACTACTCTACCACTTGAGCTATCGTGACCATCTCCACCCACCTTTCAAATTTCCCCTCCTATTTGCCATTTTCAACAAATTTATCTAAACCAATATCTTATATAAAGATCAATTAATTGAAAGAAGTTATTTTTTCAATCGGATCACGAAATGGAATGGATTTAATACGTAAAATAAATTATAACTTCACTAATACTCTCCGTGGCCATTTCATTTGTCGCCGAGAATCAACTAGATTACACGACATTTGAAAAATGGCAAATAGGAGGGACAATTCAAAAGGTGGGGTTGAGATGGGAAGTTAGTGTCCGAGTGGATCGAGGTCACGATAGATTAAGTTAGCCGAAGATCGTGGGTTCGAATCCCACCCCTGACACTGACTTTTTTATCTCAACCAATACCTAACATAAACATACTATCTTAAGGTTAACAGTGGTTGATATTTCAACAACTTAAACTTATTTTCGTATTTTTCTTTAATCAGTGGTACTATTTTGAATCAGGTTTTATGATGTTTTTCATTTCTATGCATGTTAGGATCAACAAATTTTATCCATCTGTTGTTATTTAGTTCCACTGAGAATTTTACGTTTTCATATAAGGTATGAAGGTTTGCCATTATGTGGTTTTTGTTGTTGACGTCAACCATGGCGAGTATTCTTTATTTGCTTTATTTTTCCATAAATTGTGAAAACTATTCTACTTTAAAGTTATGCTACAATATTAATGATATCTATATGAGTATGGCTGAAGATGGGGCACCGTTTTTTTGTAGATCTTTCGGTGTTTATATTGGTTCAAGTTAAAAAAGTTTTGTCTTGTCCTAGTCTGTGTTTTGTTCGTTAGTTTTTTTACCCATCCACCTCCCCGCTGTACCTATGGGAGACCCCATACCGGCGGACCACGGCCACTAAAATAATTCAAATGGGATGTAAGTTTAGGAGATCTAATTGTTCTTAACGGCTTCCTTCGACCTTGCCCTGAAAGGGAAGACCCCACGGAAGGAGGGAAATATTTTTCTTATTATTTATCTAATCTAATAGGTCTCCCCCTTGCTGGTTAATCCTTTTGAATACACTTTCTAATATATATATATACAATATTTTAATAAATAACTACAATTATGGGTACAAGGAGTAACCAGCCCGGAATTAAAAGTTCAGGGAAACGCTAGGCTCTAACAAGTAACTTAGTTATCATAGGAAGAAAAAAAAAAAGAAAGAAAAAAACTAGTCAGGTACTTTATCGACTATAGCTCGGCTAACAGGCTTGAGGACCTCAAACGTCCTCTTTTTTTTAATCAGTTCGTTGAGGGTCGGTGGCCAAGTGTGGCGGAAGAGGAGCTTTAGAGGTTCCCTCGCACTCAAGGCGGGGCAGTTGAATAGTCTGTGTTGGACACTGTCATCAACTCCGCAGTCGGGACACAGTGAACTGTTAGATCTAAGGAATCGGTGCAGATAAGCGTTGAAATTTTCGTCATTATTTGTGTGGTACAAAAATCTGGTTGAAACCACTTTGCTCTTGCTAGGTCCTCAATATTGGGTAGAAACTTGGGTTAACCTTCCCTTGGTGCTTCGGTCCCATCTTTCCTTCCACGAGTTGTCTATCCAAACTGTAAGGATCTCCCGGATGTGCTTTCTAGGTGCAGTTCGTAGCCTTTCCCTATCTGACGCATCCAAATTTACCATTGTTAGCTCCTTTCCATCTTTTAGCTGCCGGATTGTAATTCTACTGTGGAGGACAATGTCCATTGGTTCAGCAGAAGCAAGGACTTGGAGGGCGTGAGTAGGGGCTGTCCTATAAGCTTTAGTCGTTTTCGGGAGCGCTAGTCTTTGACTCTGCTCGAGGATGCTTCTACTCCTGCTTTGCAATTTTCTTCCGCAAGCTGCTCCTCAGTACGTGGCAATGGGCAGATATACGATAGTTGTCTATTGGCAGTTAGTGAATTTTCTCTGTTCTTATTGAAATTAATTAATACAGCCTTTTAAGTGTCAATTATATTAGTTTGGTGTTAGTTGTAACTTCCTTTGTTTTTATTAATTACGTTTATAACGTTGTGTCATGTTTTGCAAGTTTGTATGCAGGATAGGGTTGTAGGTTAGGCCATGTCTTATGGGTATGGTTTATTTAAGTATTTTTTGATGTATCGTGGTTGTGGGTTCAAGTTGGTGTAGGTGTATGTCTCTTTTGTGCTTATGATCTTAGAAATAAAAACTGTTCTATTTTCTATTCCTATTTTATGCACGTTTCCTTGTTTTAGACCAATCACACAGTTGAAATGTATAAAATAACGAATAGCAAGTTCGATAAATAAAATTGTTATTGTTACCAACCTCCCTAGTCATGACGATCAGCGTGATGTTGGGTGTTGTCGTCTCGTAAAATGCAGTGTTGTCCGTTATGTTGATCCCACTCGTCGGACTCCATTCGCCGACCTTTCTCAGCTGCTCCCTTTTAAGCTTGAGCAAGTCAAGCTTAAAATTAGTTCTCCTGCCCTCGTTGAACTCGATACGGCCAGTCAGCCCGTTCACTGTCACCTACAACAAAACGCAATTTTCTGTCTTGACAAAACCCTTAGTTGTTCCTTGTTTTATAACAATGGCACATATAACAAAAACAATATATATTTAAAGCATTCGAAAACCATAACTGGGTTTCAATAAATAAATTATACATAAATTGATATGTTATAAAATATTAAATTAATCAATATATGCATTTCTTAGTCATAATTGATCGTATTAATAATTTTAGACCTTAAACAAAATGTATAATTAATTAAAATGAAATATTATGTAAAATCTAGATTGGTTTTTAAGAAGGGACTAATTTATATGGAGTTGATTTTTCAAAGTACTTTTAAATATGTATCTATAATTTAAACATTTGCGTCTTGAGTAGTGATTGGTTTGCGTTTATAATGTTTTATAGTTTCGTCGTTTCTGTCCATCCTGGTCCGCCCATCATCGCTGTTTTTGCAGTCAACCGTGCGTCATGACATAACAATCCCACATTTTTAAGTTATTCGTTAATTGATAATAATAGTAAATTGTAATTTTTTTGTATTTTTCTCTTTTTAAACATTCTGGTCCGTCTATCCTCGCTGTTTTTGTACTCAGACGCGTCTCCTCATGTCACAATCTTTAGTCAAACATTGGTAGACTTTTAACCATTTAACCATTAACATTTAACATAATATAAACTCACGTTTTTCAAATATTTATTAATTGATAATAATTAAAATTATGTTTTTTCTGTAGTTTAATTTGAAATTATCCTTGTTCGATTTTTTTTTTTTTTTTTTTTTTTACTGGGGCTTCCGACATCTAGGTCATTTCAGCCCCCAACTAAGTTTATATTCTATTTACCCTTTCATACACATAATACACATAAATACATTCATACAGTACACTCATTCCGTTTGGTCGGTGGAGTACTTGATATTCCTCCAACGACCCTATACTCAAACTAATCTAGACCGGGGTCGATGGGGTACTTTTATAAATATTCCGCCATCAAACCCGAACACACACTCTTACGCTCTCATTGTTCGAGGGGTGATGATGACGTTATATTTCACCCTCACCCCTCGCCATTCACGCTAATAAATACATGCACTCAGACAAAACATATAGACACACAACACATAAGACATATTATATACAATAAAAAAACCCAATCCTAGCGGAACTTGGATGGCATGCCTACACGCTCCCTATAGGGAGCCAAAGCATGACACGTTTCCAGTATATGGGACACATCGAGCAACCTTTCTCTGCATAAGGGGCACCTGCGCGGGCTTTGGCCCAAAAGCAGGTGCCCATGTGTCAACCGCGTATGGCCAATCCTCAGTCGAGTGAGGACGATCCCTCGTCTCTTGCTCAGATTCTCTGAGGGCAATCTACCGGTCGTGCTCTTGACTCGCAAGAGCCTCTCCGACGACCCCGCCCACTGACGCTGCCCTCTTTCTTTTATCATATTTTTAACTGCGTGTTTAGCGTCAGGGGGCCTGATCGCGATGGTCCGATCTGGAGGGTGGGACGTACCGGCTTTCGCCGCCTCGTCCGCGCGTTCGTTACCCTCCAGGCCGACGTGTCCGGGAATCCAGACAACAACCACCGTTTTTCCGAGAGGCTCCAGCTCCGCGTATTTCTCTAACAAGAGCACGACGAGAGGGTCCACAGAGAACCTGTCGCGTATAGCCCAGACAGCGCTCAGAGAGTCGGTACATACGAGGAATCCTGAGCCCTCCCCGGTCCGCACCGCCTCGAGAGCGTGCCAAATCGCATACAGCTCTGCCCTTGTTCAACTATTCTCACTATTTTTGTAGTTAGCCGTTTTTCCAAAATTCACAGTTTTTAGTTAAACATTGCAAGAGAGTTCGGTTTAACAAACCAGTTTTTACAATTATTCATTGTTAGTAATAGCTTTATAATTTTCTGTAGTTTCCTCGTTTTGATCATTCTGGTCCGCCTGTACTCGCTGTTTTTTCTTCAAATGGGTTTTTCATTTTATTATCTACAATGTTACATATTTTTACGTAACATGAACTCACATTTTTCTATTATTCGTTATTTGGTAGTATTAAATGTATTATTTTATGACACTGTGTCATTGATGATCATCGTGGTACCCGATTCTTGCTGTTTTTGTCTTAAGACATGTTTTCCCATCATACTATCTTTTGTCAATTTGCAACATATTTTGACGTAACAAACCTGCAAATTTTTAGAATTATTGTTTTGAAGTAAATAATAAATGTATAATTTTCTGTATATTCTCCAATTTAAGTAATCCTGATCCGCCTATCCTCGCTGTTTTGGCCGTCAGACGTGTTTTCTACACACATTTCCTAATTATTTGCTAATGGATAATATTTTATAATTTTCTGAAATCGCTGTTTTTATAGTCAGATGCATCTTCTCATTATAAAATCTTGAGTTATACATGGCTAATTATTTTGAAATTACAAACCAATATTTTTTAATTAATTATTAAATGATCATAACTTTATAATTTTCTAAAATTATCTTCAGTCAGAATATCTTGGTCGAATTGTCAAATGCCTTTCCCAATTACATAAACTTCAATTAAAAATTACGAAATATTTTGACATTACAAACGTTTTCAATTATTCGTTAATTAATAATCCATTAATTAAGGTTTTAAGTTGAGATAAAAAAGTCAGTGTCACGAGCGGGATTTTATCTGCTATCGTGACTTCGATCCTCTCGGGCACTAAATTCTCATCTCAACCCAACCTTTTTGAATATTTGAGCTTAAGCGGGAGAGTAGCGGCGTATCAAGCCGAAGGTCGTGGGTTCGAATCCCGCTCGTGACATTGACTTTTTTATCTCAACTTAAAACCTTAATTAATTGCATGATATTAATTGGTCAAGCGGACCACTAAAACTAGTGAATTTAATGAATTAAAATGAAGTATACTTCACTAAAGCTCTCCGTGATCATTTCACTTGTCGCCGAGAATCAAATAGATTACACGACATTTGAAAAATGGCAAATAGGAGGGAAAATTCAAAAAGGTGGGGTTGAGATGGGAAGTTAGTGCCCGAGGGGAATTCGGGTGTTCGAATCCCGCTCGTGATACTGACTTTTTTACCTCAACTTAAAACCTTAATTAATTGAATGATATTAATTGGTCAAGCGGACCACGAAAAATAGTGAATTTAATTAATTAATAATATTCATTTTATAATTTTCTACAGTTTCCTCTTTCGTGGTCCTCCTATCTTTGCTGCTTCGGTCGACAGAGGAGTTTCTCAATTTTTTAAAAACAGAAATTCCTGTGTTTTATTTATCATAGGACTTAGAATATATTACAATTCTCTATATTAGCATTATTTACGTTGTAATGTTTCAAGAAAAGAAAGCGTGTATGAGGTATAGTCCTGAATTTTTTCCCGACAATTTACCTTAACACCCTGGATTTCCTTTTCCTATTCTGGAACAGTTAATAATCCTTTGGGACAATATTTGCCTCCGGACTTTAAAGATTAAGAGCGAATCCCCCTTCTCTTTTTCACCGAACCTTCTTCTAATTCGGCAAGGTGGTTCCGGCAATATTACCCCTCTGCCACCGCCCCCGACCCCGCACCCGTGCCAAACCGCGACTTCCACTTCTCCCACTTTTTAGCAATTAAAGTTTTAATTAGAATACAGATTGAAGTTTATAACTGGGTTATGGCCTGAGAAAAACAAAAGCTGCCCCTTTCCCGGTTTAACTATTACGAATGCTGTGATTTTAGCATTCTCGCTTTCTTTTATTTAGCAAATTAAAGAGCAGAAAAACCAATTATAGTTAGAATTGTTTTTCTAACATTTCAATCCATTTAAATTTTAAATTTACAATACAAACTAACTTTTTTCCTGACTTTGTAAGTTAAAAAATATATAATTTGTATACCTTTGTGTATTAATTTTATTTCCCTTCCAGTGAAATTCAGACTCTTCCACTCAGTTTGCCGCTCGATACTATGTTACGCCTCACAAGTCTGGGGCTATGAAAAATTTGAACAGCTTGAAAAACCTCAACGTTTTTTCATTAGAAAGTTATTTGCCCTTCCCAAAACCACCCCGAAATTTCTGATCTATTTAGAGACTAAAGTTGACCCGTTTATTTATATATATCTTCAAACTTCATTTTAATTACATCTTTAAACTCTTGAAACATCCTGATTACCGTCATTCCAAAATAGTCGAGGTCACGATAGTTCAAGTGGTAGAGTACAATTTGTTTATTGAAATCACCTTTGCAAGGTTGAAAAACGTGATATCGAACCCAGGAAGAGCATCAACCTCAGAACATCATACTTGCCACATTTTTAATAAAAAAATTAAAAATGGCAAAAAGGAGGGAAAATTCAAAAGGTGGGGTTGAGTTGGGAAGTTAGTGTCGTAGTGGATCGAAGTAACGGTAGCTCAGGTGGTAGAGCAGCGGCGTATCTAGCCGAAGATCGTGGGTTCGAATCCCGCTCGTGCCATTATTGTTAGCCTTAACTAGATTATGGCCATAGGTTGTGGACAACCTCTAACATAAATTTAACGTCTAACCAATATTTCTTATTTGACTGGCTAGATAAGATAAAAAGGGAAATACGTAAATATTTAGATAGTGAAAACTTCAACCGATAATCAAATCAGCTGAATAGCTACGAATGTCTTTATTTCCCGTCCAACCGTTCCAACAATAAATGTACATCTGAACCTGTCCAAACAAAACCAACTATTGTTCGATTATTCGAACTCTATTAGAAGAACAATTTCAAATCAATAAAGTTTTTTGTTGAATATCTTACGGTCAATTAATAAATTCAGAATGTACACAACCCCTTTTCCAAGTTATATTTGGATCACGTTTTGTATGAGAATTGTTAATTTGCAATACCAAATATTTCTTTATTTTTTATATTCTTATTCAAGGTAGGTGTTCTTAAAAATATTTTTCATAAATAACTATTACACTAAATGATATTATATGTCTACTGTCTGGAAAAGCTGTTACGAGGATATGAGTAATAAGAGAAGAGTTTCAAACAGATGTTTTTGTCATGGGCTTTCTGTCGCCAGAGGTGGAATGGGAAAAAGTTCCCGGGCAAGGGTCTGGTCTCATTTATTCACGACAAATATTTAACTTTCATCCTGATCTTTTCGAGTTGTATTGTCTTTTGCCATGGCAAAGTTGAACCCGTTTTACATTGTAGCCTTATTCAATTAGGCTCATGAAAAACCTAATAATAATGGGCCAGTAATTGTTTTCCCTTGGCGTAAATCGTTTATCTATCTTCTCCCTCGGAATTACTTTTATTATATCCGAAAAGGGAAGAAGACCCGGATTTGAGGCGAGGGATAATCTTTTCGTAAAAATAAAAATAAAAGAAAAGGTGAGAGAAAAGTAAGAAAATGAGAGAACAAAGAAATAGGTGTGAGAGAAAACATAAATATTGGAGAGATAAATATAGTTAGAGAGATAGAGAGAGAGTGAAAGTGGGAGAGAGAGTGAGAGTGGGAGAGAATGGGAGGATGTGAGAGAGAAAGATAGATTGAGAGAGAGTAGGAGAGAGAATGACGAATTAGTGAGTGAGTGAGAGAGAGAGAGAGAGAGAGAGAGAGAGAGAGAGAGAGAGAGAGAGTTGTGAGAGAATTTGATGCTAATAAATTACACGCCGCAAAATTCTTTAAATTTGCAATAACTCCAAGTCATGATGGTTTAGCATAATCCTACAGCCGTGAAAGTGGATCGAATCTCTCTTTTTTTTTCATAATTATTCTTTATACTTTTTTAATTTCTTCTATATTTGCTACTACTTTCGTCGGTTTCCAAGAGAATGAAAGAATGAAAGAAAAGGAGAGAGAGAGAGAGAGAGAGAGAGAGAGAGAGAGAGAGAGTAAAAAAGAATGATCGATAGATAAACAGACAGACAGAGCATTTAGAACTTAAAACAATCCTAGGCGGAAGAATATAAAATTTCCAAGTTTTGCCTCTTATCCTGCAAAACTTAAGTGGGGATACATAGAAAGATGCTAGATGGATAGAAAAAGGGAGGGCGGGGGAGAGAGATTGAGTGAGAGAAAAAGAGAGAGTGAGAAAGAAAGAGAGAGAGTTGTGTGAGAATTAGTAGCTAATAAAATACACGGCGGAAAATTCTTTAAATTTGCAACCACTCCAAGTCATGATGGTTTATCATAATCCTACAGCCGTGAAAGTGGATCGAATCTCTCTTTCTTTTTTCATAATTACTCTTTATACTTTTTTAATTTTTTCTATATCCTGTTACTTTCGTCGGTTAAGAGAGAGAGAGAGAGAGAGAGAGAGAGAGAGAGAGAGAGAGAGAGAGAGAGAGAGAGAGAGAGAGAGAGAGAGAGAGAGAGAGAGAGTAAAAAAGAATGATCGATAGATAAACAGACAGACAGAGCATTTAGAACTTAAAAAAATCTAGGCGGTCGAATATAATATTTCTAAGTTTTGCCTCTTATCCTGCATAACTTAAGGAGAGATACATAGATATATGCTAGATGGATAGAAAGAAAGAGAGTGTGAGAGAGTTTGTGTGTGTGTGTGTGTGTGAGAGAGAGAGAGAGAGTGAGAGAGAGAGAGAGTGAGAGAGAGAGAGAGAGAGTGAGTAAAAAGAATGATCGATAGATAAACAGACAGATAGAGCATTTAGAACTTAAAAAAATCTAGGCGGTCGAATATAATATTTCTAAGTTTTGCCTCTTATCCTGCAAAACTTAAGGAGAGATACATAGATATATGCTAGATGGATAGAAAGAAAGAGTGTGTGTGTGTGTGTGTGAGAGAGAGAGAGAGAGAGAGAGAGAGAGAGAGAGAGAGAGAGACGGAAGACAGGCAGAATTGCCTAAGTGAAAGAATAGTCTGCTTTAAATGGCCAGATTTCAGATTTGCTTTATTTTTTTAAAATGAAAATCTCTATTTTACAAAGCGATATCACTTACAGCATTGATGTAATTGTAGAGGCTCGTGCCGTCCGGCCAAGGTATCTCTAAATCGCAGGAAAGGTTGACCGGTCTCAGGAGGTGAGAAGATTCCAGAGATGCGAGGCCGGCTGCGAAGACGTGGACCGAGTCGAACACCAACGCCGGTTCCGCCTGTAACAGAAAATTTTACACATTATAAAGTTAAATTATAAGTATAAATGTTCAGTTGAACGACCTCAAATTTGACCTTAACCGAGCAAAATTATCATTTAACGCACCACAAATTTGTCTTAAATTATTATTAAGGACTAATATACTTTATGAAGTTTGAATGTTTCAAAACTTTTATTAAAATCCGACTGTACAAAGTTAATAATGTTTAGATGTTGTTCTTCCATCTTTTTTTTTATAAACGAAACGCCGCCACAGTATGAATATTTTTATGTAATAATTTGAATTTTCAATCTGGATCCCGGACCGCCGACCGAGGGGCTCATAAGTCGCAATATTACAATTCAATGTGATTTACATTTTCGAATTAATCACAGCTCCTCCTTCGACTCTAGATTAAAAACGCAAAATTTTGAATTTTAATTAGCTTTTTACCATTAATTAAAAGCGCTAGATTGATGTTTTCCATCGAGGTTTCTAATTAATTTATAAAAAAAAGATATTACTCTCTTAAGTAGGAAACCTTTCACTGAATACCTGCAAATTCAACAAACGAATGGGATCTACAGAAAAATATTGATTGTAAAGAATGTCAAAAAATTAATCAGCTCTTTTTGTCAACTTTTTTCAAATACTTTCTATTTACGTTTATTCATATTTAATTCTCAACGTTAATAATTTTCTACTGTTAAACATTAATTATGAAAAGAACGACTGTATTATTCTAAACTGTCCGATTCATTGTTTGGAATAATCTATTCGGACCAATCTTTTTGCTCGTCAGATTTGTTTTTCACACACATTTCCTAATTATTCGTTAATGGATAATATTAATTTTCTGAAGTTATATCATTTAAAATAATCCTGGTCCGCCTATCCTTGTTGTTTTGGGAGTCAGATGCATCTTCCCATTTTACCATTATAAATCAATATTTTTTAATTTTTCATTATTCACAATAATCTATTCGGGCTAATAAATAAAACCGCTGATACTGTAAATACGAAAATTTTTGAGTCGTTTCATTTTTATAACGAAGAGACTCACTAAAAACGGATTTTTCGAAAGTAGAAAAGGGTAGTAAACAATAAATTTCAAATTCACTAGACCAATTAATTAATTAATTAACCGATACTCTACCACTTGAACTATTGTGACTTCTATCCACTCGGACACTAACTTCCCATCTCAACCCCACCTTTTGAATTTTCCCTCTTTTTTGCTATTTTTCCAAATGTATGCATTTGTATGTATGTATCTATGTGTAATCTATTTGATTCTCGGCGACAAATAAAATGGCCACGGAGAGCTTTAGTGAAGGTTTACTTCATTTAAACTTAATAAATGCACTAGTTTTGTGATCCGCTTGACCAAATAATATCTTACAATTAATTAAGGTTTTTAGTTGAGATAAAAAAGTCAGTGTCACGAGCGGGATTGGAACCCAGATCTTCGGCTAGATACGCCGCTGCTCTACCACTTGAGCTATCGTGACCTCGATCTACTCGGACACTAACTTCCTATCTCAACCTCACCGCTTCAATTTTCCCTCTTTTTGCCATTTTTCAAATGTCGTGTTATCTATTTGATTCTCGGCGACAAATGAAATAGCCACGGAGAGCTTTTAGTGAAGATATACTTCATTTAAACTTATTAAGTTCATTAGTTTTCGTGGTGCGCTTGGTTTCTATCTCAACTAAAACATTAATTAACTAAATAAGTTTCAAAGAAGAAAAGTAACTTAAAGTAATTTTTCACTTAAGAGGGTTTAATGTCTAACTATCCGTTATTTATTTTCAGAAGAAGAGTCAAACCATATTACACTATTTTACAATAATTACTATTAAAACCTCATGAGCCATTCGAATCAGAACCGCTATCGGGTGAAATACGAGTCAAATTCAACACAGAAAATGAATATTATAAAAATATTTATAAAAGTTATTGGTTAAGATAAAAAAGTCAGTACACGAGCGGGATTCGAACCCACGACCTTTGGCTAAATACGCCGCTAATCTACCACTTGAGCTATCGCGACTTCGACCCGTTCGCACACTAACTTCCCATCTCAACCTCACCTCTCGAATTGATCCTACTTTTTGCCATTTTTCAAATGTCGTTTATCTTGAACAATACCTTCCATAAATATTAATTAATTGAAAAATGTTAATTGGTCAATCGGACCATGAACTGTAATGGATTTAATAATTAAACTAAAGTTTATCTTCACGAAAACTCTCCGAGGCCATTTCATTTGTCGCCGAGAAACAAATAGATTACACGACATTTAAAAATTGGCAAAAAGGATGGAAAATTCCTTCATTCTTCATATCAGATTAGTAAAAATTAAATAAATACATAAAATTCTTATTCCGCATGTTTGCTCATTATTATCAAGATCGTGTTTTAGTCAATAGTAAAGTGAAAATTAATGTAGAAGAGAGAAAATTTTGCTTTTACTACTTCGTTGGCTTATAAACAGGAAGTTATTTTACTAAAATAAAAATGTTTACATAAACATACGTAAAATTCTGTTAGGTTTCGTCCAATTCAGCAAATAAATTCTTTTCGATTAATTAACTTTTAATTAAGGTTTTGGTTGAGATAAAAAAGGAGGAAAAGTTCAAAAGGTGGGGTTGAGATGGCAAGTTAGTGTCCGAGTGGATCGAGGTCACGATAGCTCAAGTGGTAGAGCAGCGGCGTATTTAGCCGAAGGTCGTTGGTTCGAATCCCGCTCGTGACACTAACTTTTTTATCTTTACCAATACCTTTCATAAATATTAATTAATTGAAAAATGTTAATTGTTCAATCGGACCACGAACTGTAATGGATATTATAAAAAATTAATTCCTTACAGGGTTTTGAAAAAAAAATCACCTTACGTGTTCATAACACCTATCACCTTACTCCAGCTAACTAACTAATGTAACTGTAATCCTAATCTAACGCAATGCTAAACGAAACTGGACCTCTACTTAACCTAACCGAAAACGTCTTTATTCCTAACCCAAACTACCTAATTTTAATGTAATGTAATCTAATATAATATAATTTAAACAGTCCTTCACTCTCACCCAAGCCCTACCTAACTTAACATTAACCTATCTAACCTGACCTAACTCTAACCTTTATAAATTAAAATAAATTAGATGGATTATGTAAAATTGGTGAGATTTTCTTGAAACTAAACATCAATAATCTTCATCTGCTTTGCATTTGCAGATTTTTCTCCGTCGTACTTATAATTTTTGTTAATAATTATTTGCACTTTTAAGACTAATGTCTTTTAAAGGGTTAAGTGAGTTGAAATTGATGCGAATCGGTTGTAAACGGAGCGAATGGACGTGGTGAGGAAAGTTCACCGGAAGTGTGTACAGGTTGCATAAAACCTCTTCACAACATCCCTTCTCTCCGCCCTAATTACCTGGTTAATAGACCCCGGGACCGGCCCATGGTTTATTTACAGAGTTGGCTGAAAAGGGCTTCACCGGAAAAGGCAGAAAGGAAAATCCAGCATTTAAATAGGGGCACCCAGTGCGCTTGGAACTTAATGGAATTCCAGGAGTAAAAGTCCTCCTAGAGACGAATAGTGCCATGCTTCTTTCAAGACAATATTTAACGTTTTATTTGGCATTCGTCCATTTATTATCTAACCCTGTGACGTTCCCTTCCACAAGATCCTGGTTAAGTACTATAAAGCTGACATTCCAAATATGTGAAACAACATTGTTTACTGAAAAGAACTTGAAATATATATAAAACATGCAGTTTAAAGTAAACAATTGAAGAAAAAACAACTGAAATTGACCTCACATAAATAATTTCTTAATTTGGAAACTACATCTATCCAATACCTTACCTCAATGAATCAGACTCTTGCATAAAACATAGTGCAATTATACCGAGCCTATTTATCATATTTGACCTTTTACTGATGTACCAAATCTGTATGTGATCTGAAAACATGATGAGTTTCTGACTGTACGTTGGGACAACAATCGAAATATCAAACAGAAAAGCCATTTATTAGTTTGGTGTTTAATAGTGACGTATTAATAATCAAATCCAGTTTTATTAAAAACAAAAATATATTAGATTATAATTAATTAAGATTTTTAGTTGAGATAAAAAAGTCAATGGCACGAGCGGGATTCGAACCCACGATCTTCGGCTAGATACGCCGCTGCACTACCACTTGAACTATCGTTACCTCGATCCACTCGGACACCAACTTCCCATCTCAACCGCACCTTTTTGAATTTTCCCTCCTTTTTGCCATTTTTCAAATGTCGTGTAATCGGATCTCAAGTGGTAGAGCAGCGGCGTATCAAGCCGAAGATCGTGGGTTTGAATCCTGCTCGTGCCATTGACTTTTTTTATCTAAACTAAAAACCTTAATTAATTATAATATATTAATTGGTCAAGCGGACCACGAAATTAGTGAATATATTGGATTGTTGTTCAAAAACAATTAATTTTTTTAGGAGTAATGGTTTATTTTATTTAACAACTTTCGTACATGGTACATTATCGACATTCTCTTGATGCAAGATTATTTCTAGATATTGCTGATAATAAATAATTAAAAGCAGGAAATGGCTAATTAAGTGCCCAACATTAAATTTAACATATTCGATGAACCTTATTTTAACACATAAATATACTTTTGGGCAAGGTACTGAAGAGCACACATCGGATGATTTAAGGTAGGTTATAAATGGTAAGATAGGGTTATGTTGAATTAAGTTAGGTAAAGTTAGAGTCATGGTCTGATTAGGTAAGGTTGGGTACCTAGTAGTCCTAATAGTTAGAGTTAGGACAGGTTCAGTGGATTAGGTTTACTGTAGAGTTAGGTTAGGTTAGATAAAAGTAAATTACTTAGGGTTAGAGTTATGGACGGTTTAGTGTAAGTTAGTTAGGGATTCGGTTATACTATGGTAAGGTTAGATTAAGTTAGGGAAGGCTAGATTAAGGTTGGAGTTAGGTTAGGTTTAGAGTTGT